GGGAAAAATAATAAAAATAGTCCTTGCTGGTGTATTTCCAGGAGGTGCAGAGGGATGATTTATGTATTGCATTTTTTATACTAAACTCAGGGTGATATTTCACAAGGCTTGGCTGTTTATACTTCCATATAAGAAATACATAATTTAAAATCTATTCTGATAAAGAAACCAAAAAGCATCTGAAGTATCTTACTAGTAAATCTCCTACTTGTAGTCTCTTCTTCTTTCATCCTACAATAGTAGATTGAAGGACAGACACCATTATGGTATCTGATATAGACATCTGTTGCAAAGATTATTTCTGAACTCCTACTCTGTTCAGTCACATAAACTTCCAGAGCCACAGAGAAAGAAAGCAGCACAGAAGACTGTAGCAAATCACGAAGAAAGGAAGACAGTGAAATGTGGGGTGGAGAAGAAGAGTCCATGGCAAACAGATTTATTGATAAATGGTTACCTTATGTATCACTTCTTTCTCTCATACTGCAACTGCAGATTAAGGAACAGAAAGTAGCTGCATGAAACAGTATCCCTAGGAGGCAAGGATACTTTACTAGCATGACCCTGCTGCAACTAGAGAAGGAATTCTGAGAGTCCTAGCCAATAGGATCCAGAGAAAACAAAAACCCCAGCTTTCTAAGAAAAACTGAGGAAAGAAGACGAGAAAACATCTTCATCCATTTCAAATCACTGAAAGAAGGAAAGGTAAAGTGGTTTGCTCTGAAAAAGTGGTTTGCTCTGAAAAGTGGTTTGCATTGTAATTTCTTCCCTCTCAGGATCAGGCCTGAAAGACTAGAGGCAGAGTGTTTTTTTGGTGAGGAATGTGCCCCCACAGGTAGTTGGGTTTTGCTGTCTTTCATAGATTCTGGTGTGCAGTTTGTGGGTACTGGAGATAGTTGGCAGGTTTTGTGTTTTGAGCTGTAGGAAGTTGGCTTCAGTTCTGGTGATGAGGTTAGGTGCTTGTTTGAATGTACAAACCACTTTTCAGAGCAGGGCCTCTGCACTGCACTTCATCAGCCTCCTAGGTAGTAGGTACAGTAACTCATGGACTCAATATACACAGTGGAGTTCTGGCACACTGCGACCTGCCAGACATCTGACACCCCAGGCACCTCTGCACTTTTACCTGTATTGCTACATCCCCCTTTCCCCCTACCCCCCACCCCAGCCTGTCCCTCCCCCTCTGATGCCTCCACTTCCATTTTCACTGACTGGCTTTCTTGCCTGCATTGCGGGCCAGGCCAGCCTCTGGCTTCTTTACTATTCCTTCCATCCAGGACCAACTGCAAGTACTTCCTCAGCCTGACGAAGGGGTTTTCAACCCTAAAGCTTCTAAAGATACATTTTTTTAAGTACTCCTTTTTTTCATACATATAGACATAAAAACACAAGATAAGCCATCACACACCATGAATAACATCATATGTCAAGCACAATGCAACATCTTTATTTCTAGCTGTCAATTCCTTTATAAAATGACAGGCTCTGTGACAGTTCCCTTTGGGTACTTTTGATGCCGCTGCTGATGCTACTGGTGTTGAGCCAGCTAAGTTATTGCACCTGTTGTCACGTAAAGTGGAGGGCCAGGTGTGAGGCTGTAGGGGAGGAGGACTGCCATGTTGTGCAGAGGCCCCAGCACCAGGAAGGGTGCACCTTAACACACACATAGTGCCACCCACCCACATCACAAGTTTTGCCTGTCAGCAGCTTGGAGTGCAGGGCCCCAAATGACAGACTCCCCAGCGAGACACACACAGCTGGAAGGCTTTGTGGCCTGGCAGGGCCCAGCACTCAATCAGTCCTGCTCTAGGACCCACACACACAGCTGGCAGGCTTTGTGGCCTCAGCCAGAGCTACCACCCCTGAAGCTTTGACCCTCCTGTGTTGTAGCACATAGACATGACAGGAGTTTTGCTTTCAGGAATTTGGGGTGCAGTTCCCCCCCAACCCCTGCACTGATCCTCTTGAAACTTGGCAGGCTTTGTGGCCTCAGCCAGAGCTACCACCCCTGAAGCTTTGACCCTCCTGTGTTGTAGCACATAGACATGACAGGAGTTTTGCTTTCAGGAATTTGGGGTGCAGTTCCCCACAAAACTATGTACTGATCTTCTTGAAACTTGGCAGGTTTTGTGGGCTCAGTAAGAGCTACCATTCATGAAGTTTTTAGCACCCTGTGGTGTAATATACAGCTGTGACATGAGTTTGGCTTTCAAGAATTTGGGGTACAGTTCCTGCCAAACCCCCATACCGATCTTCTTGAAACTTGGCAAGCTTCATGCTCTTAGTGGAGGCTACCATCCCTGCATGTTTCATCCAAATGATACAAAAAACAACAGAGTTATAGATCTTTCATTGATTCCCCCATTATACCCTATGATCGGATCTCTGAGGTGGCTCCGAAGTTTTGGAGCCGCTTCAGCCGGACTGAGGTCGAAACCCGGTCTGAAGCTCCAGATCAGAAGTAGCCGGATCTGAAGCCAGATCATATCGCTGCCAATTCAGACAGCCCTAATGACCATAGTCCTACTTAAACTAGCTTTCAGCAAAAAACTCCCTGTATCTATTGTGAGGCTACCAGTCAGTAGTGACATAACCAGATCAAATGTTGCTCTAATTTGTAGTCATCTGCACAGACCAATCTGTTGAACAGCTGAGTATTAATTTTCCTCACACCCTTTTACAAGTGAATAGTTTTCCAGAACTACAGAATCTTAACATCAAGACAAATTGATTGTTGGCAACATCCTTGTGCAGATTTTTAATCAGGGCTATGGCTTAAGTTGCAGACTTTTGCTGGAATGTCATCAGGACCTGGAGCTTTGCTAGTTTTCAACATCTAAACAATATCTCCCAGAGCAAGTATATAGTTGAACATCTAAGTATATTGTTAGTATATTGTCTAACATATCCAAGTATATTTGTGGTACATCAAACAGCACTAACCAGGAACATTAGACTGAGTATTCAATAAGTTTTTGAAGGGCTCTCACCTGCCCTTTACTGATAGTTGTATTTTATAAGGGCCACACAAAGCATTAATCCTCACATAAAACTGGTATGTGGTAGTCTCCTCAGCATGCTGTTGCAGTTTATCTGTTTGGCATTTTGCCAATTGTCTTACATTTAATGGGCTTGGCCACCCAACTCTGTCTTAATAAATCTCTCTGTAATACTGCAAATGGACATGTGGATTTGGATTTTCATGAAGTTTGTGATGGATTGTCCTCCTTTCTTTCCTG